TTTTGCAGGCGCTGTGGGGGCTGCCTTTGGAACGGGATGAGTGACGAGGTGAGCCGGGAAGTAGAGAGGAGGTGCCTGGGGCTGGTGACTTCTTGCCTGTTCAATGGTGGTTTTGTGTTGCTTGGTTTTTTTAGGCCCCACAAGGAGTGACTGGTGATGAGTCTAACTCTGGAATCCATGCGGAGCGGGAGAGGAGAATGACACGGCGCAGCTGAGGAGGGGTATGTTGCCAGAAAGGTCCGCGTTGACCTTTGTGATGCTTATTGTTGTGTGTGGAATAGCTTGTTCCTTCTCTGGTGTTTTTTTTTTTTTTTTTTTTTTTTTCCCTTCTGACTGGCCCACAGGCAGCATTGAGCAATCTGTTATGTTCTGGTTTGTTTTGGGTTTTCTCTTGCATTTTTTTTCCCCCCCGATACCAGACATAAGGCTCCATGTGGGATGATTTCCTATGAACTCAGACAGCAACCAGCACGCACGCTGGGAAACAGCCCTTGCGCTGAGGCACTGCAATACCCTCCTGTGTTTCGTTGACTTCTCCCCTAATTCGGATTGGAACCCAGATTCCCCAGCCATTCCAGCCATCACAATCCCAATGAAATAGTTCTGCCTCACATAGGAAAAATAAAGATGTAGATCCTTTTGTGGATGGTTGAGGTTGGAGGAGAAAACCCCTTGCTAGGGAAGAAAAAAATGGGAATATGTTTTTTTGGACTCCAACAATGTCACCGTTTTTTTCTTAGGAAATCTCACTGAAAGGAGTTTTCAGTTTCCTTTGTAGACTTTCTGGGTAGGAGCAGTGCTGTCAGGAGCAGCTTCCCCTGCTCTTCCTTGTTAAGACTCATCCCTGTGACAAAAGGCAGGAACAGAAAAGGACTCGGGCATGGAAGGGCTCTTTTTGTTAGTGATTTGCATATCAAAGGCACCGAGCAGTCAGCGCTTAACAAGTCATCTCCACACCGCTCTTTCTGAGGTTTTGGTACAGTGCAACTTTAAAAACGGGAAGGCATGTGCTTCTGCTTAGTGTGTGCCCGAATGCATGCAAATGAATGTAAATTTATGCAAAATGGCAAGGTATGTTTTTTCCTTTTCCGGAGGATTTTGGCCAGTATGGCTGGGAAGGTGTCAAGTACAGTGACAGTTTTCTGATGTGGACACCTGTCCCACAGACTGAGACCATCTGCTTTGTTTTCCCATCTACAAGAAGTAAGATACGTATCCCTCAGCCCAGGGAAGGGATGAAGTTCAGCTGCAGAAAAACAGCAAAGAAAGAAGGAGCACCAGAGAGGATCTGAAGTCTAACACCCCACACTTCATGGAGTCTTTCTCATTTCACTGCAGTGAGCAAATACACTGGAACGGTTCTACCTGATGCCTTCTCTCGGTGGGTATGAACATCTGCTCAGTGGAGCAGGAAATTCAGCCCAAAAGTTTTTGCAGGGGGTGGAGAGGAGGAAGGAGCACATCAGGGCACAGGCAGATGTGCTGCTGCCGATCTAGCCGGATGGTTGAGGGAAATAACCATCTTCCATCTGGTTGGTACCACACCCCAGCTCACATCTGCTGCTCCCCTGCAGCTGAGCCACGTTCAGGGCTCTGCCAATGCTCCCAGCTGCTTCAGGGGCTCCTCTGATTTCAGCAGCGACAGCCGGCTTGGTGATGAAGCAAACTGGGAGCTGCCACGTAGTCCGTTAGCTGCAGAACAGTGACAAGGAACTGGAAACCACCTTGTGTACACACAGTGTCCCCTGCTCGTGACCTCTTCTATAGGAGCGGGCTAGGTCAGCTTGCCCGACTTTGCACAAGCTGGTTTGACTCGCTCTTATTATTAGTATGGTTCTGGTACAGAGATGACAGCAGATAGTGCAAACTGGTCATATCTTAGGCCATGGTGTCTGTTTGTAATGTCACTGTGTGTCTCCACTGACAGGCATGGTATTTCCAGGCTATCGAGTAGTCCCCTATAAGCCCATCGTTACCATATAGTGCTTGGTTACCACCCCAGCCTGTCTCTAAAGAAGCAGCTGATAGAAACAATTCTTCCAGCTTCCTCATGGGCTGACAATTTGTTTAGAGGCCAGTTAGGTGCCTTTAAAATATTCTTCAATATTTTCACACTGGCAAGGTTTGGCCTCTGTCAGGGCAGCAGCCAGTGATGGCAGAACAAGTGAGAGAAGGTATGAAATCACTGGCAGGTGACAGCAGTTAGGGCCAGATGGGAGGAAAGGATTAAAAGCCAAGCAAAGGCCTAGGAAAGATTTGGGGGTCTAGAAAGCAAAGCTGGGTCTTTCTTCTAGACAGAATCCAAGAACAAGCGACTGATATGCAAATGGCACTTGTCTCAGTCAGAAGGGGATTTTACAGGGTGAAGAAAACATGGGGAGCTGGGTAAGTGTATTTTTCTTCCAGTTTTTGGTGCTTATTTCTATCCTCAGTGCAGTTCTGTTTTCTCATGTGTGGTTTCCATAATTTATTTGGTTTTAATTTGCTGCTATTGTAAGCTGTCTTGTGTTATGCGTGGTATTCCCTGAAAGCGGGATCCGGGGCCGTTCTTGTGCAGCATCCTCCACGCGTTACGTGAGCGTGTCCAGAGTTAACAGACCCCATCTCTGCTACATTCTGGTTTAGTTGCAGGTAATGCAGGGCTCTCTGTGGAAGAAGCATTTTCTGATAAGCATTAGCCAAGAAAGCTTTTTGGTATGTAGTGCGAGGCTGCCTGAGCTCCATGTCCCTGGGGACATCTGTATTAGCGAGTCATTCTGTGATGGTCCTGATGTATGAAATAAAAAATAATTGACAAAATTGCAAGCCCGGCACAGTCTGCTCCGGGCGTCCTCAAATCCTTAGGCAAACTCCCCAAAATCATGTGGTTAGTGTAATTCACAAGATTCAGTTCTTTCTGGTTTTGTTTGTCTTGGGCTTTAGTAGCTTCTATGGGAGTGAGTTTTCCAACTCTTCTTCATAGCTGTGTGAGCGACAAGTGTAGAAGTGTTTTAACTGCTAATGAAAGCTGAGGGCTTTGCCCAGCAATGCAGCAGTGATAGTGGCAATTAATGAAAATCAATAAAAATATCCTGAGATATTTCACTAAAATCTGAGAATGGGCAAAGCTGCAACATCTACCTGCTGCGTATGGCAAGCAGGAAAGTTATACAGTTGAAAGACAGCTTATGCATTCTTCTGCGTGGGCCTCTCCTCTACATCTTGTGTGAGATTTTTTTTTTTTTAAATATATATTTTTAAGGAGAAGACAGGAAGTGGTTTATCTTATCTTGATGCGCTTATTCTAAATTGTTTTTAAAAAGTTGTTCCAAAATCCAGAGGGATTTTTCAGTCCCGAAGTGATGAGTGGTGTATGAACAGAAACTGGATTCAGTAGTTGGAAGTACTCATGCAGATTTCAGGGTTTCTCCCGCTCATGGAGTTCCATTGGCTTTTAAACTATGTTTATTCAGACTGCTAAATGAAATGTCATTTTGATCCCGAAATAAAGCAATGATTTGACATTTCTGGCTCTTTTAAATGAATGAAAATGATTACATGAATCGAAACAAAACCTTTTGAGGTAACAACTTGAGTTCTAAAAGTAGGTACATTGAAAATAGGAAATATTTGATTGGAAAAATGCTTGCCTATCTCATTATCTAATATTCAACTTGCAGTGGAAATTAGTAAT